ATTGTTTCATTAATTGATGGCATACTTTTAGATATCCTCAATAAATGCGTTAATAATTGCACTTGTACGTACAGTCACTAACGCCGAACACTTACATGCAGCGAACGTTTCCTCGCGGAATAAGAATTAAGTTAATGTTTACGATGTCGCGTTTACAATGTTACGCCACTTGGCGACAACGAAACTTCACCGCTGGACAATTTCATTCGAGTCACTGGCCACCATCACTCTTCTCGTAGACTGACACACGCAGATTGACAGAAGGGCACCAGAGAGGGCACGGCGAAGCGCGATTAGCGCATGAAGGGTTTTGCCGACGGAGTAATTGAAACTCTGAAACGTTCCGTCGATTTACTTTCGGCAGGCTTTCCCCGAACTCCGGCGTTCTCCTGATCCGGCTTCCAGAAGTGTCACCGTACGTTATTAAATCGCATAATTAATCGCATTGCGTAATTATATTTCATGATGTTATTATTTTTATCTTCTTGGTTCTTTCGGTAAAGTCACGTAGAAGGGAAATAATAAAATAATAAAAATACAACATAATAAAATAAAAGAATAAAAGAATAAAATAACATTAAATTATGAAATAATAATATATTATATGTTTCAACTGAAGGTGATTCTAATATATAACACAACATAATAATTGGGGAGGTTTTAAACTGTGGCGTGTTCCGCAATGGTCTCGCTGAGAATGTTCTCCCCGCTGGTGACTGCAACTGTAGAATATTATGCGTCGCACTTTAGCGATCGCAGCCTGAGGCCTAGATCAAAAATATATGTTTATTTTATCTTAAAAATGGAAAAAAATACGACGATTCATAATTAGTTTCGTTTTAAATTTAGATCGCGCAGCGTAGCGTTTCAGTTTTAACACGTAGGCTTTCGCGACCAATATCATCCATAATACAGTTTTTTTTTTATTAGATCGTGTATATATCTGGATGCCGCCTGATGATGCTAGTTGTAATACTGGCAAAACGTCGTACTCAGATTGTAAATGTTGTGGTTTTGCTCTCCAACACATCGGTTAGTGTTGTACTAGTGACGAATTGGCACGTTCTGTTAACGTGACAAACCTTACTAGTTGGCTGTGTCGGGTGGTGGCGGGTATAACGACACATTTATATATTTACGCGATCTAATCCAAATACCTGTATTATGTAGCATATCATGTTCATTTTTCGACTATAATGCTCTACCAAGCCCGACAGAGATAATCAAAACAAGTTGTATAACGTCACGGGCAAATGTGCCAATTAGTTTGGTTTATCGGCAAAACTGGAGTGTTAAAAAGCAGGCAAAACATGTTGACAATTTTTTTTTAGTGGAGGGTTATCGTTAAAATTTTCCGTTATCATTTGCTATACTTTGATCTGACCCGAGAGACACGGATTGCTAATCATGACGTCGGTCGTGAAAGCCTTCATATAACATTTGGTAAAAAAAAAACACAATGCGAGTGGAGTATACGGAAAATATTGACATCTTCACTGAGATTTAATGCAAAAAAAAAGTAACCTTCAGCCAAAATAACTCACAGCGACGTTTTACATAATTTTTGCAAACAAACTGCATTGAAAGGAAGACGTTAAAGACGAATAGAGGAAACGAATCTCCGTCTCATTTTGACTTATACCATCGTAACTATACCATCAAAGTTCTAATTTACTCTTGATTAATGTCACGTGTTCCAGGAGCCAGATGCCAATGGCGTGGTATGGTAGCCACGATGAGAGGGCTTCAGGAGTGAGAGTTTGCGTAGTTTTGCTGTTCCGCCCGCGTTGATGGAGCACAGAGCACAGTTTTTTGCTCGATATGTACGAGTCCCTAAGTTTGGTTGCGCGGCCACAGTCGCACCACCGTGGCTCGCGTCGTTACGTTTCTATCCATGACGGAGATGTGCCCATCGCCATGTTGGTACACGTGGAAATTAACTGCAGCAACTGACTGAAAGACATCGTAGAGAAGGCTGAAAAAAGCAGGGCTCAGTAAAAAAAATACGAGCAAAAAAACACATGCACAGTTCACTAAATTAGCACAAGGTTGGAGGGAACACACCTGGAAACACACCTGGAAAGCACATCAGAGTTTGTGTACAGTATACCTAGGCCCGTTATTGAAGGCGGGCTGGTATCAAATAATGGCATGAGAGTACGGTTGAATGCTTATAAAAAGTGATCTTAATAACGCAAAGCAATATACCAATGTGTTGCTGGAGAAGAATGTTGTACATTGTCATGCTGTGACATTTGGATCAGTGACATGGGCATTGACAAGTAACAGAGGCCGATTGGTAGGTGGAAAGAGGCAAACACACGTCACCGGAGAACATGTGAAGCTTTGCACAAAAGTTAGAGACATCAACATCGCGTTGACGTAAGAGCCCACTCCGATCAGTGGACGTGGGGCAGGACGCGTCGCTCTGAGAGCATCGCAGCCGGTGGTCGAGACTCACAATGGAGTGGCCGCCGAGGGAGGGACACGCCCAGGAGATTGTCCACCGCGGTGATGAAGCAACCGAGTCAGCTCTTGTGCACGACCTGGATATTGTGTTGCATCGCAAGGTCGCGACAAATGAACGTGTGCACGTTGAACATCTTTCGCACCATTCGTAGCCAACCATGCTAATCGGAGGTGCGTAGGAAGGACAACAAACTAAAGACAAAAAAGCTGGGAGAGGTCTTCATATCCAGCAATGGACATATGCTTCAAGTGACAGTTGGAGTCACGACAGTTTTCCTTGCGGACAGTAAAAAAAACCCAACTCCATCTTCTATAACCCTAACCACCGATGGTAAAACGTGCAAACAAACCACAAAACCAGATCTGCCTTTATCGACCACATTCTGCGAATGTAGTGGAACCCATCGGTCAGAGATCCATCGCCGGGGCGAAAGCTTTGACGCGAAAACGCGGTGGCGGCGGCATGTCGTTATGCTCCGGTGAGCGCGGTTGTCTACATGAGACGCCAAAGAAGTTCAACGTACACACCAAAAAACAAAGATCCCCCGTATAGCCTTAAGAGACTGTTGGGGCAAGTGCCGTCAGCGAGCACATATGAAGGCCAGAACGGCACGCGAGGGGGTGGGTGGCCAGCACCACATCGGTCCGCCTTTGTCTCCCTAGTGGCGATACTTACACACCGAACAAGGCACTCATTCGACGCTGAGTCGACCTATGGGGAGGCCCAGGACCGGTTCAGATAATCGTCACTGATGTTGGCCGTGAGTGGGAATCGAACCCGGGTCGCCAGTTTCGTAGCGCAGCGCGCTAACCGCTACATTGCCACTCCCCACACACATACAACAACAACCGCCATTCGCCACTAAGTGGTGGTGACGTCACCACGACGTTTGTGCCAGGCTATGTGCACGTTGAGGCCACGTGAAGTGTCGAACACCCGCTGGCACGAGGTCACGGGACAGACCCTGGTGCCACGGGTCGACTTACTGAGATGAGTGGCTGATGCACCACCCGTGCCCCCTACTGTGCCAACTTGTTGTGCTTTAGCCACCCGGCGCTCCGCTCGTTGTTGTGAGCGTCGCTCCTCCGCCCTCCGTTGTTGTTGGAGAATGACTGCCTCCAACTGCCCAGTAGCGTCCTTCACGAGCCTCCTCCACAGAGGCCGATCTTGACACCGCTGGTACCAGTCATCGGCAAGTCCACTCAGCTCCACATCCTCCTGTACCACATTACTCCATGCCCATGTTGCGCCCGTTTAGCCCACTCGATCCGGCCAAACAAAAGCTGTTGAGGCATGCGGTGGCTGGGCATGCGGGCTACATGACCCAGCCAACGTAGCCTTGCCTGCCGGAAGAGCTCACCGATGGGACTTTGTCCAGATCTTTCATGAATTTGTGAGCTCCTCACACAATCCAGCATGGTTAAACCCAGGATGAATCGTAGGCAAGCCAGCCTAAATGTTTCTAACTGGCGAAGATGTTCCATTAGGGGGTCTATGTTTCGCAAGCATAGAGAAGTGAGGGAATGACCGTGGCCGAGAAGACCTGAAGCTTCGTGCGGAGCGACATACCAGGTAGCTTCCATGCAGCGTTACGCAACCGATAAAAAGATATTGCCGCTCGACTGATTCGGAGTGAGACCTCTGCTGTCAAACCGGAGCCGGTCATGAGCACACTGCCCAGGTATGGGAAACTCTCCACTCTCTCCACAACTGCCCCATCACCAATTGTGAGTTGTGGGGGTGGTGTCCGATGGTACAAAATACCCAGGCAGGTGCTTAGCTTTGGTGGGGCTGGTGGTAAGGCCCCACCTCTTAGTGGCAAGCTCCAGGTTCAGCAGCAACGCCTCCAACTCCTCCTCTAAGTGGGCAGCAATTACCAGATCATCGGCATACATTACATGGTTGAGCAATAGGGAGCCATCCCTTGACCACACCCGGGCATCGATCAGCCTCCCATTGTACCTGTACCAGATGGAAATTCCTCCGGTACAGCTATTGAAGGCTTCATGAACTACATGATCGAAATAGATGTTAAATAATTTGGGAGCCAGAGGACATCCCTGTCGCACCCCAAGGTGTACAGAGAATGACTCCCGACTCCCGGCCACGTAGTGTTACCCGGGCCCGCTCACCATCATGAAGGTCCTTAATGATTGTGAGCAGAGGGTCAGGGACTCCGAAAGCACGAAGAACAACCCAGAGCCCAGACCTACTGATGGTATTATAGGCCTTGACCAGGTGAATAAAGCAGAGATGTAGGCCTTGTACACACACTAATACACACACACACACCGTGACACACACACAGCGACACACACACACACGCTGCCGCAATGACACGTCCCCCCTACGGCTGCGCGCTGTTAGCGGCCCGGGGTGTGTAACGCGATCCGGGATGTGTAACGGTGCCCCGCGGCTTCTCAGCCTCGCTGCCCAGTTCTGGCATTTGACAGATGCAGTGACGGTGCGATCAACCAGTCCGCGTGCAGAGAGGCGAGGTTGTGACGGTGGTGGTGGTGGCGGTGGTGGGGGTTCATAGAACCCCCGCGCGCACACGCACAGCGCACATGGGCTGAATGTTCCAGTAGCTGTTGACCCTCTCCCCTTCTCTCTCTCTCTCCCTGTCGCTCTCTCCGAGCCAGTGGCTCTGTAAAGAAGTGGAGAGGTGGCGGCGGCAATTTAAAACCCCGCGCTGAAACTGCACACCGCGCGGCACTGTATCGCGGCGGACAGAAGACCCCAAAGTGTTTAGCGCAGAGGAAGCGGTTCGCGGACGCGGGAGGCGGAGTGAGAGAGGAGACGCGTTTCCAAATAGAAATTTTGCGCTTTGGAAAGTCAAAGGGGGTGGGGGGGGTCACTGTTTACCAACCACAACAACAACAAAAACCTCTCCACCCTCACCCAGCCACCCAGCCAACCCACCGCCGCCGTCGCCACCACTGCCCGAACACCCGGAGAGATTGAGAGACAGAGAGAGCTGTGAGCGTGCGGCAGCAGTCGCCGTCCTCGCGAGCGACGTGGAAGGTGGCGGCGGCACCGGGAGAAACGCCGGTGACGCTTTGGCGGCAGCGGATCGTCGGAGGCCGCGCTCATGGCCAGCTCGGCCCCTGCGAACGGTCTGCAGGGAGACCCTGAGATAGAGCTCTTTGTCAAGGTGAGTTGACGGCCCAGTGTGGGTGTGGGTGAGGGCCCCCCATCCACCGCTGTTGGATCTCCGCAGAGAACCACGTCCGAATTGACAGCCGCGTGCACCGGTTCGCTCGTTGGACAGGTCGGGCGTAATTTATTTAGGAGCAGGCGATGGGGGTAGGGATGGGTGGGGGGGATTGAGAGTGTCACGAGATACTTGGGAGTCCGTACGAGGAGGAGGAGGATGATAATGATGATGATTATTGTTTTACATCTTTGCGTTTGTCTGAATTGGCTCAAGTGTCACGCTTTCGGGGGGCGGGGGGAGTTGGGCTCTGGCTCAATCCACGGTAGGGGTTGTGTTGCCGTGAGCACATTTCACGTGTGCGCCCCCCCCCCCCCACCCCCCACGGCATTATGCTACATCGCAGTAACAACACAATACTAATAATGTCCCGGCAGCGTCGGAGTGCGCTTACGAGAGTTGGAACTTGGGGAAGATCGGTTCAGAAGGCGAAGTGCATGAACCACGAAGCTCCACAGTGGTCTGCAGAGCAACGTCTTAGAGCAGGGGGTGGGGAACCTTTATTCTTCCAAGGGCCATTTGGATATTTATAACATCATTCGCGGGCCGTACAAAATTATCAACTTAAAAATGTCCTGTTATATTTGGTCAAACATTTAATTAACTCACCCCTAATGTGATGGCTGGAACTGCTTCTCCTTGGTGAGGTGTGTAATGTTAGCTGGTATTGATGATGTTGCTACTCGCAACTGCTTTTCCAGGTTTGCTCCTAGATTTAGTGAATTTCGAGTCCCGCCTGCGGTTGCCTTGGCAGGGCCACACCAAATGATTTTGCGGGCCTTATACGGCCCGCGGGCCGGACGTTCCCCACCCCTGTCTTAGAGCATGGGCGGCAGGCCTCATCAATGTATCTCATGAGATATCTATCTGTCGAGGTCATTTCACTCTAACGATCTACAGCTTACTGTCATTGCACTGATTAATTAAACCCCCCCACCCCGTGTCGCTCACGTGGTTCGTTTGGCCATACTTCACCACGTTGGTCAGTGCGGGCGCGCCAGAGGACCGATTCTGATGTCGCTCATCACTGATTTCACCGGTGGCCCGGCATCGAAACTCGGGTGGCCAGGTTCATCACGCAGCGTGGGAACCACCGCCGCGCCATCGCTCGCAATGATCCATTATGCGGCATCCCTTTCTCAACGCACACACCGTTCATTGTTGAGCGCAGGGCAGGCCCGGCTCTAGTAGCTTCCTCTCGGATTGAACTGTTGGGGGGGGTGCTGGGGGAGGGGGGGGGCCAGTAGAACTGTTGTGTGTGGTGGGGGGCACCGTGACAGCGATTCACCACTAAACTTGGTTGGTGCCAACGGGACACTCGGAGGTGGTGCAGGGCCCAGCCCAGCAGCGGCCGCCCGAGCGCCAGCCAGCCCCTGGGCACGGGGCAGCGCTCCCATCACCATCGGCGCTGTCGAGTCGGTGAAGAAAGTTTCTTGCCTACCTGTGACGGGAGCCACCAGGTCTCGCTTGCCACGGCGTCACAACCGAGCGGCGTTGCCCACAAGTGCTGGAAAATGTTACACGCCCCGCTGAGATGATGACAGCGGCGATGATGAAGGTGCTGAGGCTGACCGCGATGAGCGACCTCTTCTGGCCCACGCCTCATACAGTGTAGCGTATTATGTATGGAAGTTTAACTTTTTTCGCACCTTGCGTCGCCAACCGTAGCCAACCGTGCTAATCGGAGGTGCGGGGGAGGAAGACAACAAACTGAACACAAAAATCAGTTCTTATTAACTGAGTTTTCAATGTTGATTTAAAAGTGAAAAGCTCCAGCGGCTTCCTAATATCGGAAGGAAGAGCGTTCCAGACGGCCGCAGAAGAGCATCTGAAAGCGCCACGCGATGCGGTGGCCACCGTCTTTGTTCGATGGCCCGCAGCCAAAAGCTGCTGCTGCGAGGATCACCGGAGTTCGCGTGTTTGATGGTTTATGCTCCTTGACGAGATCAGCGAGGTGTTGTGGTTCACATGTGGCGAGCACTTTGTGTGTCTGATGACCAGAAGCCAACATATCGTGGATTCGTGTCGCGTCTTCATCACAACAGAAACAGTGGGCGGATTTATTTATAGAGATAGACAGTCGGTCATAGGCAGGACTTGAATAGGGACATCACGGATGAGTGGAGTTCCAGACTATAGGAGCAGCAGAGGAGAATGAGCGACCTCCTACCGAGCAAAACATTGACTGGAGGCTTGGATGGAAAGCCTTGGTCGCTGGCGCTTACCCCACTGATGTTTCTTTTTTTCACGAATACTTATCATCACGATTGGTCCTCTTTAATCAACACATCTAATCAGATTCGGAGCAGTTGGTACTGGTCCCACTGTGGTGCAATGCTGTTGTTACTTTCCCAACTTCTCCGGATTACATCTCGCCAACCACGTGTCCGTGTGTTTCACGCTGTGCGCGCGTTGTCCCCTCTGCATCGAGATGCCGTGCTTTAGCTGTTCCTTGCGTAATTTCCCGACCGCGCGAACACGCGCGCTCCTGTTTTGATGCGCGGCACGTTGATAATTTTATTTCGATGGTGACCCAAGACGAAGAGGAACACAGCGGACCCTGATGATTTTGATTGCGTCAAGCACAGAGGCCGAGTGCCCGTTGTTGTTGTTGTTGTTTGAAACTCCGGCCTGAAACTTAATTTTTCCTGTTCCCACCAATTATTCCTCGTCGTTTTTTTTACGCAACGCGATTTGTTCTGATGGGCGAGTCGTCTCAAGAAGTCATTGCGCCGCCGTCACGCGTTCACGTATCTGCGTGTTGAGATCTTCACACTTTTGACACGTTCCTGTCAGTGTGTTCTTGCCGGTGCCCTGTTATTTGTTGGGCGAGTTGGAGGGGGGGTGGGGTAGGTGGGGGGGTGTACGCTGTCAAGCCGATCAGCTGGCACGGATTCACACATTTTTCGCAGAGCCTCCGCTACAAATGACATGTGCGCCAAAACCCCTACAGCTGTTCATTGCGTTACCACGAATCATTGTGTGTACCACTCAGCTTTGTGTACCACTAATCTCTGTGTTGCCACTAATCTCTGTGTTGCCACTAATCTCTGTTTCCACTAATGTCTGTGTTGCCACCAATATGTGTGCTGTCATTGACCCCACCTTATGATTGCCTTAGCCCCATAAAAATCTGCAGGCTCCTGTGCTAGATATTGGGGTGCATTCGTTTAAAAACGTGTCACTTTCTTAAATAAGGCAAAAAAGCTCTAAATCACGTGCAATGTGGATTTTTTTAACTAAGCCCTACTTTGGTCAATTTGATGTAGTTGAAATAATAATAATTTGTACTTATAAGGTGCCTTTCACAAAAAGGTGTTAAAGCGCCCTGAATGAAAAGGAGAAATAAAATAATAGAGAACCGGGTGGCGGAATTAGAGGCAAATAGGAACACAACAAATGGTTAAAACCTGTTTTATCTTTTATTTTACAAAGTGAGTTTTTAATCGGCACTCAAATATATCAACACTGTTCGAGAACCTGAACGGGAGAGCGTTCCACAACCTCGAAGGTTTGAGCAGTAGCTGTCTTCAAGGGACGGCTGTTTCCGTTGACTAATATCAGGGGCATTTTAGAAAATATCAGGCGTATTAGAACATACACAAGCCACAGTGTGGCTGTCGCCATGAAATCCAAACTACGGACCATATAGTAAACCACTGTGGTCTACGTTCCTTCAACGGAGGAGGGAGGAGGAACAGCGAAACTAACACAAACTCTCCCCTGAAGCCCCCTTCGTGAAGGCTGGCACATTTTGACATTAGCGTCTAAGCTCCTGAACACGAGAATAACATCAATGTCATCTGAGGTGAAGCAACTGTGTCTCAATTGAGAATTCAATCCTTGTCGCAACCCTATTTCTCGGAAATTGAGTGAGGCTGTCACCCTCTGTTAAATGCGTATTCCTCTTAGTCCCTAAAACAGTCGTGTGACACACACACACACCAAGCATCGTTTGGTTGAAATCTATTGAGTCGATTGGATATTCCATCTTCGCAGTTCAAGGCAGGCGAAGTAAATGCGCACGTGTGCATGGCGCATGCCATTTAAGTTTGCCCAGGGTTTATTTCATGATTCAAATCTGTTTAGTGGAAACTAAAATAATGGACGATCGGGGTAAGGCAACCTGCAAGATTGTTCGGAAGAGTACGCGCCTTGGAGAGTGCTGTACAGTGATCCGTCATTGTTCACGAACTTGCTATCCGCAAATCGCATCTGGAAATCTACACGGACTGCATCGAGAGAGAGAAAAATAATGTGATGAGATATAAAGTGATGAAAGTGATGAGAGAGAATGCGATGCGACAAAGTAATGAGGAATAAAGTGACGAGAGATAAAGTGATGAGAAAAATAGATGGGAGAGATAGAGAGAGAGAACTTCTCGAAGCATCTGCAGACGTTTGCGCGTACGACATTCGTAGAGCCAATATCGTTATCCGCCCAATTTGCTATTCACGAGGATCTCCGGAAACGTTACCCCTCGCGAATAACGAGGGAACACTGGTAGACGTCAGCGGGGAGAGACGAGGTCGTGATGGGTGACGCCGCTGTGCTTGATGTTGATGGGGGAGGGCAGGTGACTGGCTTTGGAGTGGCGCCCACGGGTCCATAACTGAGTGGAAAGAAGTGGACTTCAGGTGGTGGCGATGAGTTGTGAAGAGCAAACCTTTGAGGCCATGGGGGAAGAAAGGATGTGGCTGGCGAGGTGTGTAGCCAGTGTGTCTGTGACACACAGCAGCGCAGCGCAAACACAGAACTACTACGCACTCGGACTTGCAACGGAATCACCGATCGTTTCTATAGCAGCCAGTCGCAAAAGGCAGGCGGACAATGGTATATCACATGACGCAAAACTAACCCATGGGATTACTCAGATCCGTGATTCGCTTGTCAATGAATCAATGCAGCGATTAACCGGAATCTTAACCTCGATTCTGCA